TTTCAAAAAAGAAAGGATGGTGCAATTTCAAATCATTAAGAAAATGTTGTGTATGTGTTTCACAATCAGACTCATGGTTCAAGGGACAATAACGTTTTATTACCAATGTTTCAATTTGATAATTTTCAATTTTCAAGCTGACCGTTTTAAGAATCTAGAGTCATTAAAGGATAATATAATTTTAGATAAGGAGTATGATGAAATGAATCATTTATAATTATACATTGGACAAACTGACTCTATGTCTGTTACAAATACTAATTTTGATAATGATGATCTTAAGTCTTGAAAGATTTGGTCAATTGAAATGTGTATTTGAACCTTATAAAATATATTTTTTTAAAATAAGATGATACATGTATTTTGAAATTTACCTTTTTAAAAATCAATTAGTTCTGCCGGGAGATAATTAGGTAAACCGGGGGATAATTAGGTAAACCGGGGGATAATTAGGTGAATCAGGAGTTAATTAACTGAATTGGGGCTGACAACAAGACCAGTTGTTGATTGCACTATTATAATTAATATATAAAGTACTCTTCAATATTGTGTCTATACTATTCTCCAAGTCAATGAATGGTATACATATATATCAGGAGAAAGATGTAATATGTCATGATTATGGTCTAGCATCCAGGCCTGTAGCCAGGGGGGGGGGGAGTTCGATGGGAGGTTTGTTGAACACTTGTATCAATCCTGTAAAGAGTTTTGTGCCTATTATGCAGTTATGGGGAAATAAAATGGGGACATTTTATTTCCATTTCTAGTTTTCTTGCATTATGAAAAAAAATATTTCTAATATGACAATTTCTCACATCTGTTTTAAGAGTCCAAAAAGCTTGTATATTAACTCCAAGTCACTGTGTAACTCAATGAGAATTGTATATTAGCAGTAACAAGACAGTTTTCCATCAATTATGATTTTGATAAGAACATAGTATATCTTAGTAGAGTAGCCTTTGTTGTGTGTATAATACAGCATCTCAATGTTTTTTCCTGCTTTTCTTGGGACTATAATCCCCAACATTCAACAATTGTATATATCTAAAAGTAAACAATTCAAGTACATGTAACCAAATGCCACCATTCAATAGACAAGATGCAAGAAGAAATAAGCTTGATTTTCATCATTTAAAAGTCATTTGAAATGTCAAAGTGACATCATAACATCGCATCTAGAAATGGAGTTTTAAAAATTAATGATCAACTTTCAATTTTTATTTTCTTTAAAATTGAAATATCTTTTCTTGCTGAACAATTAAATTCTATTGCAGAACATATCCTAATAATAGTTCATTTATAAAGGTTGAAAATGTAAGAAAAACTGATTTACTAAATCTATTTAGTGAAGTTCAGTAAAACAATGTCTGTCATTGTCTGCAGAGTTCCAATATTCCCTAACATGGGGGATTAAAATGATTTCTAGCTCCAACTTTTTAGCTCACATGGTGAGCTTTTGCAATCACTCACTTGTTCGTCTGTCTGTCCGTGTGTCCGTCCGCGCATCCATCCTTCAACAATAGTGCCACATTTTAAAACCTCTGTCGATAGGATTCCCGTTTTAAGTTATTTCTGTTCAACACCAATACGGAAAAATCCCCTATGACTCCTGATTCAAAATCTCGCCTCTTTTCAAAATGGCCGCCATTTTTGTCTCGCAAAATCCACTTTTGACCCATTTCCTTGCTTTACAAATAATTTCAGTTGTCATGCATTGTAAAAATCCATGCCAATGGGAAGAGTAATTGTATGAAATAATTTTGTTACAAAAAATCGGCAAAAAATTATTTCTATTTTTTTATTTTCAGCCATTTTAGTTAACATTGATTTGTCCATCTGTCTTGCAAAATCCACTTTTGGACCATTTGCCTTAAAACCTTTGTCGATAGGATTCCCGTTTTAAGTTATTTTTGTTCAACATCAATACAAAAAACTCCTCCATGACTCCTGGTTCAAAATTTCGCCTATTTTCAAAATGGTCACCATTTTTGTCTCGCGAAATTCACTTTTGGCCCATTTCCTAGGTTTAGAAATAATTTCAGGTGTCCTGCATTGTGAAAAGCCATGTCACTATAAAGAGTAGTTGAATGAAATAATTTTGTTACAAAAAACCGGCAAAAAATTATATCCATTTTTTTATTTTCAGCCATTTAGTTAACATTGATTTGTCCATCTGTCTCGCGAAATCCTCTTTTGACCATTTGCCTTAAACCTCGATCGATAGGATTCCAGTTTTAAGTTATTTTTGTTCAACATCAATACAAAAAACTCTTGGTTCAAAAGCACACCTATTTTCAAAATGGCTCCCATTTTTGTCTCACAAAATCCACTTTTGGCCCATTTTCTAGCTTTACAAATAATTCCACGTGTCCTGCATTGTAAAAAGCCATGTCTTTGTAAAAAGTAGCTGTATAAAATAATTTCGTTACAAAAAGCTGGCAAAAAATTATCCGTTTTTTTTTTTTAATTGTTGTCATTTTAGCCATCATTCACTTTTGAGCAACACCATGTGAGCCCAGTACCCATGGTACTATTTTTATATTTATTTTTATTTGATAATGATGTCAAAGTCCTGAGGGATAATATCAGGAAACCTTGACATTCCTAATATAATGCAGGCCTGTCAAGTGTCCCGCAATTTGCGTATTTGTCACGCATTTGCTGAAGAATTTGAAGTCACGCCAGTTATTTTTGCGTGACAGAAAATGTCACGCAAATACGCATTTTACCTGGTAATTGTCAAGCAAAACTATTTCTGTAGAAAAATTTCTAAAAAAGATTGTCTACACAGCAAAAATATGAACGCCGGAAAAAAATGTACGCATTTTGTTCTCACTTTTCATGCGAATTACGTATATGTCACGCATTCCGTTCGAAATTATTCGTACCTACCCCAATTCCCCCCCCCCACCCCCGTTGACGGATGTTTGAAACGCGAGCGTAGCTAGCGCGAAAAATTGGAGGTGTTCAAAATTTGGCAAGATGTAATAAAATTTAAACCAAGGTGTTCAAAGTTTGGATCAAGGTGTCCAGATTTGGACCAAGCTGTCCACATTTTGAGGGGAGGTGTCCAACATTTCCAAGTCACTCATGTTAGGTGTTCCCAAGTTGACAGGCCTGATAATGTTAATCCAATGTGGATGTATACCATTAATTTCAATATGTAAGAGATAGTTTTAATATTGCATGAACTTTAGCCGTCATAGCCGTGGTCTGAAATAACGGGTACACTGTACAATTTCTCTGAAAAAATAATGTTCATACATAAATGTACATTAGAATAGGCATTTCAAACAAAATTGACTTGCATTGAGGTGAGATTTTCTAATTTTTAAAATCATTTTTACTGCCCCTGGCAGGCCCACGGCAGCCTCCCGGCATAATTTTAACCACAAAATGCCCCCAAAATCTACCCTTGTCATAACCCCGGCACTCAATAATGCCAACCCCGTCAACCCTGGCAACCCCAAAATTCTTTTGTTTAGCCCTAGGCAATTGCCCCCAAATGCCCCCGACAGCAGACCCCGGCCTATGGTAAATTCCCATAGAGAATTTTTTCGCCCCTGGCAAATTGCCAACCCCCGGTCGCCGGCAAACCCCTGAGCTTTTCGCAAGGGTACAATCAATTTTGTTCAGTTTTGATAAGTTGTCAGAATAAAGTTACGTTCATCTGAATCCATGTATCAAAACAAAAATCCTATTTTTACTTCAAAATACTTCAGTGAGATGAAGGCTCGGAATTGTCACATGCAATAACTTATTGTCGTATTCGTTATTTTATCTTCTCGATAGTAGCATTTAGTCGCACATTTGATGCCAGGTCACCTTGTCGCGTACCTCTTGGGGAACCCCACATTTATGTGTACTCATGGAAGTAAATTCCCCGGTGTAGCCGAGAGCCACAAACTTTTCAACAGGTTCGAAATGACCAATTTCTCTCATATATACTCTAAATATTTTATTATTTAGCACCTACAAAGTATTGCTAATAACCATATGTAATTTCAATAAGGAAACTTATCTTGCTACATGTAAATTCAATATCAACACTAGCTGTTCTCTCAACACGTCCTGGCTTACCTTGTGGTGACAAACCCTGGGTTTTCGCTATTTATAGTTTATCAACACCTGGACGCATGCGCATTTTATAGTTTATCGGGCACTTTAAGTCGGTTATTTTGAAAAAAAATCCTGCAGACCTGAACCAACACGAACCACCTTAGGCTCCTCCCAGTACCAACTTCCTGTTAGAGTACATTCTTGTAACTCTCACAGTACATCAGTACAATACTCAACAATGTACGGTAGAGAATTTAGTCAGAAATATAAAAGATTAAAAATCAGTTCTTATCAAACGCCATGTAGAACCCCATATTCTTACTATTGAAATGGATTCTAGCAATACTGTCCCACATGAATCTACTTGTTTAGACTCAATTAACTCAAGTTCATCTGAGAAAATGAGGATTTTAGCAAGGGTTATTGACTTTTCATGAGGATGAAATTGACTTCAAAGCTGCATTTCAGCAAGTAGAAGTTTCATTGCTGTTCAAGAGACTCCTTGGATCCAGTTTTTCGAGAGGGAGGTACCAACTATGTATCAATTTGAACATTAATAATGTTTTGAACGCAAAAAACAATCACTGTGTCATTTCTACTCGAATGGTAACTTGGCACAGTGCTGATTTTATCACCATTCATAAAAGTCATGATTGCTCAGTCATCCATGACAGTTACATAATGATCTAGGTACCATTGGGTGGCCATCGATCGCTGTATATGTCCCGTTTAAAATTAGAAATGTCTTCAAACGACAGATCTGACTTCCTATTCATCTTGATTATTTTATTGGATTTTTTCAATGTTAGGTTTCATCTAATCTAAAAACCTTGTGGATTTGTTTTTTGCCTTTTGTCCTTTTACTGAACATTGTTTATTTGAATTTGTATCATTCTTTCAATATTCGAAGGATAACATATTCTGAAAATTTACATTTAAAGGTATGCGTTCTATGTGTTACCAGATGTCTTTATTGTTCACGAGCCACATGAACGGATAATTCAGCCATACACTGAACATATGTTAGTATTTTTTCTTACTTATGCTGTTTCTGTATTGAATTCTTGTGATTTTGTTGTACCAAACTTGCAGCTTTAACCAATGAGAAATGAGTGCAACTTTCGGCTAGCTGCTACCGGATTATATTCTATCAACCTGTTATTTTATGACAAACACACTCAAACATGATTAAATATGAATTGAATAGTGGCAGGCACATTTAAATGAGTTGTCCATAAAATAATGCGTTAATCCGGTAGCCGAAAGTTGCATTTGCGCGAATACAGGCTAAAGTGCCGGTTTAAAGTGGCAGATATCGAATGAAAGTTTAAACTTTAAATTATTGAAAATAATACTCAGGGTTGATGAATATTTAAAACATTTTGTGTGAAAAAACACCCATTATTATGTGATCAAAATTCGTAAATTGGTATAATTTGTAAGAATTGGTTGCTTGGTAAATGAGGTTCCCAAAACTATAGTTTATTCTTATGAGGTTATTGTTATTTGGTCATGAGATTCAAAACGCTTTGCTTTATTTTCCAGATGTTTGAACCAAATTGGACAACTCATAAAGAAGGAACTATTGGCGAAAAAGAAAAAAAATTAAAAAACATATAGATGAAAAAGTGAATACAGTCAATATGGTACTACGAAAATGGGACTTCTGCGCATGTTAAAATTTTTCGTCAAAACTCAACTTTTGTTCAAGTTGATACGATTGTCTTTCGAACTAGAGACTTACCTCATTCGAAAGATCATAAAAGACTTTATCTATACTGAAAATCTTAGATCCAAACATAGTAGAATACGCCGTCAGTCCGCATTTGATTTTTTGAAGTGAGTTTCGTAGATCGTCAGATTTCTCCGACTGATATCGGGTTATCTCAAACTGGTTCGTTTATAAATACGAATTTCTTTACCGTTGTAAGGCGCATGCGCAAAATTGATTTATAAACCTTATTGGTTGATGGTTTTTCTCCTGCGCATGCGTGAAGTCTGATGAACACTTATGACGAAGACCGGAGCAAACATTACTAGCTCTCGAACGAATTAATTCCAAGATTCAGGTCATTTCGCCGTGTTTGCTAAGCGTGTATACGTGAATGACAAGCTGTTTTGAGTAGATCGGGTACCTGTTTTAGACACAACATTGATTTACACGCTTAGCACGAGACGGGTTTTCGAAAAATCTGTTATCTGATTCACTCGATTATCGTATGGATATGTATTTCTGCTGACATTTCAACACCACATCACATAGAACTACGATGCAGAATGATAATAAAACACAAAACAACTACTAAATTCCACTTGTTATTTCACAGGAGGTAAAAATGCACACTGCCTAGATTCTTTGTAAGGGTCGTCAGACATCGGATTGGCCGCCATATTTGAAATGAAAATATCACTAAATAGAGGTCTGCGCATGCCTCAACATTTCGACTGAATAAGATAAACCCCCCATAGATTCCTGAAATATATTCGATTTCGCCAACAGCACCAGCACCAGTACATTGCTTAAAATTCATGTGTGTGCGTGCGTTCATTTGCGTTCACCAGAACCCGAAGGGAGGGGACACTTTTCAAGTGGTTTTGGGCCAAAGTTGTCAAAAGTGAACCCCCCTGGAATTTTCAAAAGGTGAGCGTACGTCATACCCCATTGGCAAATCCTGGATACGGGATCCTGGCTATATTTTATGCTGCATATTTCTTTCAATTTTGGGAAGCCAAGGTCGCCGCCCCATGGCTACCGTAGATGAAATGTCACTGAGCCTTTTTAATATCGATTAATCCGTCTCTATTGAATTTTGAAAACGGAAGTGCCAATTAGGGGATATTGGAAACGAAAACAAGGCATACGAATAACGAATATCATGTTTCTGATGCTACTCTTTCAAAATATGACATTTTCATGAAATGAGATAATCGGTAGTCAGAATGATGCCTTTAACGTGCTATGAAAGTATTTTTTGCAGTTACGACATTTGGATAAATCTTATACCGTTGGAAAGCTTATAACGCCTTGTTTTGAGGTCCACTTGTTAGTAATTATGAAAATTGAGCCGAATTTTTCTAAAAGGCCCATTTACATAATAACTACAAATGTTCTGACACATAACTCTACTATTGCTTCGATTTTGACAAAATTGGTATCTTATTAAAGAAAATACATAGCTTTATTCTGCAAAATTACATCTATAATTTGCATATTGATTGTATTATTTTGTGAAACGTAAAATAAATTAATATATTTTGTTACAAATATAAATGTTGTATCAATAAAGCCATTGTTTGTTTATAAAATATACTAAATATTAAGTCAGTTTCAATGACTGAGACATTTGAGACCCTGAACATCTATAAAATTAATATTCTTTATAAATAATTATACGTAATACTTGAATGCCCATGTATTGACTAAGCTTGGAGGAAATGTAGAATGTCACTCGACTTTTTGGTGATTTTGACGTCATTTCTGCACTTCAATTTGATACCACATTTTGCCTCATTGGCCTTTTATTGTTTCTCAAAACATATTCTCTCAAAATTAGGAAATTAGGGTGATGAGCGGGGATATTTTGAAGGGAATTTCAGTCACAAAAATAAAGAGTGACAACTTACACTTCCTTCGAGTGTAATCAAATTGACTTTTGACAAAATACCACTGTTTATTATAATGTAGTAGCATCTACAACAAATGTATAGACATTTTGCAATTTTATCGTTTTATTTGTATGTAAATATGTTCAAAGTGATCCCTATTTGCTGTTATTTTCCATTTGGAATGTGTAATTACTGGTGGTCCATTGTACAGAGTCTGCATTGATGCGTTCTTTCATAGTCCTCTCTACATATTCACATTGTCCCTCGCTATCTATGATGATCACTGTATTAGTTCTATAAAAATGATAGGAAATTATTTTATAGACTACATGTAATAAAAGCCTCCTGATCTATTTAAGCTCATTGACTAAAATGTCCAGGAGGTCATTATACAACAGCAGCTTCTTAAAGTTAAAGTAAGCATTCAAGTAATGTCCATTCGCCTCTCAAGAATGATAAACCATAAGTGACAGGCCCGTAGCCTCCCCCTGGCTAAAAATCCTTTCAAAATCATGCAGTTTTTCATCATTCTGAGCACTTATAACTAATTTTGGGCATTTCTGGATCCAAATTGTCAAAACTGAGCCCCCCTGGAATTTTTCAAAAAGTGAACCCTTGGCAAATCCTGGCTACGGGCCTGAGTGAAACCCATATCACAAAATCATTTCATTCGGTAGACTATACGTATACAGTATGAGCAGGGATCAGAGTAGAACAGTCTTAGGTACCGAGCCAATTTGCTACAGTACTGTACGATACCGTTTTGGAAATGGTACTGTACGGTACCGTGAAATATGGTACCGTACGGTATCGTAGACTAAAACGGTTCCGTACGATACCGTGAAAACTGTATGGCACTACACTCCAACGGTACCGTACGTTACCATACTCTTAATGCACCGTACGGTATCGTGATTTTAGAGTGCGGATTGGGGGTGTATGGCATACATTTGTTTTGTACAATCAGAAGGTTTATTACTCAGATAATATTGCATATCTCAACCAGAACATAAATTTCCCCCGGGATAATCCCTGTATTGAAAACCTCCCAGTAGACCAATATTTATTCATACCTGGTCCCATAGTTGATACCCTCTGTTGGTTTGACACATATTGCACTTCGGGATTTCAACCAAGCTGGAGACAGCTGACGTCCTTGACTTTCTAACTGGGGATCTGGCATATGACTAAAAGCAAAATGAAGAACTAAAACATAGGCCCAAATGCCCTAATACGTCACTTCCGCTGAAAAAAGTAGTTTTCAAAAGTGAATGTAGTCCCAACACAATTGTGACCATGACGAGTCAGTAAGCTAGTATGTAGGCACAGTTGTCATCTTTTTGCAATGACAACATGCCATTTCTTCTGAAAATGCGCTTATTTGGGTTATCTGAAGGAAAATTTCGAATCAAGTGGCGTATTAATTTTGCCTTCATTTTTATGAATTTCAATTACTGTCGGCAGAGAGAGGGGGTATATGTAGTGTCACAATTGACCAATTATTTCAAAAAGTAGATGATTGGCCCCTATTGAGTTTAGTGTCAAAATGTAGCTTAGACATAGGTTTAGAACCTCAGATAAGCCAGTGAGGCCACGTAAATCCATAACTCGAGATAAAAAGTCAGGCGTTTGCCCTTTTGCCCATTGACTAGTATGGTGACATGAATTAGGGCAGTTTAGCCATAGTGGCAATTGAATATTGTATAGCCGTAGCATCATATATGCTACAAGATGGAACCCATGTTTAAACATAACAATGGTACAATTTATTACAGTAAATAGTTGTCGGTCATGGATAGCAAAATAAATTTCAATTCGCGTATCATCCAGATGTTCGCTTTTATTTCGATGCAAGGCACTTGGATTTAAATAATTCAGAAACTTTGAAAATTAAGGTAATTTTGTTAATTTAAGGTAATTTTGAATGAAGGAAGACAAAGTTCGATAGGGGTGTCCTATTCTTTTAAATTATGAGTTCTGACTACAAGGAAATTCCTGCTGCATTGCCAGCCGAGAAAGTGCGCTCAGCGAACTTATGGTTGTTTGTATACGTTTGCATTACGATGGAATGCACGGCGGATGCTGAAGAGTAATAGTTTGCAATACAAACTACTGTACCTTGTATCGTCATTGAGCATCGCTAGCAGCGCCATCTTTAATTCCTCTTTATGATTGGTTTTATCTTTGTCAGCAGCAAATTGATCAATGATGGATTTCATGCGATCTTTCCCATGGAGCACTTTGTTCCAAGGTTTACGATTCGTACTGTTACTCATGCTGTATATCCCTAGAATAAAAAAACATTTTCTGCTGATGTCTACTGTGATACATGAATTTATTGATATCATTCCTCGATTTTTCATCTACACTCACATACAGTAAAACCTGCCAAGTGGAATACCTCAGTAAGTAAAACAGCTTTCCGAAGCCCATGACCGACAGACTGATTTTAAATGATCCTTTATTTTTGAACACTATTTAAGTGATACCAAAGGTGTTCCACTTCCACAAGTTCGTGTACATTGAACTTTGAATTTTATTTTTATCTGACAATGACGAGTAACATCAATAATGAATTCAATATATGAATGATGCTGATGCGATATAATCAAACCTCACCGTGGTCATAAACCTCGTGAGTGTGTTCGTCTTCATTATTGTAGTAATGCATCTTCCATCTATCGGAATCTACACTGAAACACATAACAACAGGTACATTAGTTTCTATTTGGTATTCAGTCTTATTTTATGTAAGCCCAGGGGTATTATTAATCTGATTACTGATGGACGCAAGCGCAAAAGGATGCAAATGTCGACACAATTGATTAGACAGTTTAAGCCTGCAAGTGACTCGGTGACTTAACTGAATGTGGAAGCTACTGATTTTTGTAAATTCGATGCTCTTATGGTGAATCGTTATAATATTTCCCTTGCTACCATATACAATATCCATTTATCTCTCGAGTCCAACGTGGCATCTATGAGGTGATTGATGAACGGAAAAAGTAATATATTGATTGAGTTTTTGATCTGAAAGTTCTGAGTGGTTGGTGATAAGGATTTCTCTTCAGATATTCTTATTTTGGATCGTGTTCTCATTTTTTTCAATGTCAAAATCTGCTTTGGCTAGTTGAATTAGATGATAAGCCTTGGTGTACATAAACCAGAGAGAAATAGTTATAAATAAAATCCCATGGCCATTTCTAAAAATAATATCGCTATCTTGACATTTCTAAACTGTTACCTATGCACGGGGATATAAATGCCAACATTGTTTTGTTTTGATAAGAAACAGCAAGAGCTTCAGTTACGCATAAAAGACTTGTGGAATTTATAAATATAATTGACCAATGTGACGCATAATTTTTCGGTAATTCCGAAAAGTATCCAAATATAAACAATTATGGTAAACGTGATTAATGACGTTTTTGGCAAGGTGTAAGAAACGGATCTAGATTTGTTGTGAAAATGTGGATTTGAATCCCCTGGGAAGTAAGCTAAGTGCCATTTTCGTTCAAGAATGTACTTTATCGAATTTTAAGCAATAAATTTCTAATTCGCTTACTAAAATGACTATCCAAGAAATTTCATCAATACAAAGGAAAAATTGAAAAATTAAAAAAACAATAACATGCCAGAAAATGTATGTAGGTTTGCAAATCGGAATAATCCAAAGCAAAAAAGGTTAGACTCCCATTTCCCACAAACAATTTCATAATAGTGTGGTAATCAATGCTTATTAATGACGTAGCAATTTCCTTTGGATAAATTGTATGAAATTGTCATTTCCAGAAAATATATTATGCCAGCAAATTCAACTATAACAATTTTCTGAGCAAAACCATTACCATTAGTTTTATTTATCATGCATTTTACAAATAAAGTCGCGTTTTCAGAAAGCGATTTTCTGTTAACACTTTGACTCACAGGGTGTAAAAGAAGACATTTGGTGAAATAAAAAAATCGTATCAAGTAACATCTATAAGGAGAGAGTTGCTGCTAACACTCAGACACTACACACTTCTTGAAAAAAGATGCACTTTTTAGTAATTTAAAGTGTATAGCTAGGCTATAGGTTTTGAGCTGCTTTAAAGAAAGAGGTTCATTTTTTCATTTTAAATAACAACCCTCTGAACCAATTAAAGCAAAAGAAAAAAATCTGAAGGTCGATTCGTTTATACAGTAGGTATCAGCTTTTGATATTATTCGCATGCCAAAACTGTTGAATTTTACGCCAGTAAGTAGCACACATATTCTTTTCAACTCAGATAACAAAAAAAGCGTAAGAACACGTAAGATCTAGAAAAGTTCTGGGTGATTCTATTTAATGATAAGAAATTTCAACAGCCTATTTTCTTCGTGCGACAATTACTCAGTGATGATGGTTTCTTTAATGCTGCATATTAGGTCGATGTTATATATTACAAAATCTAAATTTATTTTAAATAGTACAAACTGAATACATATAGAAGCCGGGTATATTCAAAAGAAGATTAAATTAAATTGAAATTAAATTAAATAATACTTGTTCAATATGTCCTCATAATAGTAAAGTTGTTAAGTGATATCTCCATTAATAGTCACTTGACTCATTTTACGATCATTTAGCGTTGTTTGGGTCTGTGTCCTATGCATGTTATACTCGGACATTTTCTTTCTCATTGTTTTTGGAGAAGTCAATGGTTCCTTACATTGAAAAAACTCCAATAGAGATTGCCTGAACTTCATACCACTTATACAATACATTATGAAATTCAGGCGCAGTTCGAATATTCAAGCATATATCCTACTGTAATGAGAAGTTTGTCGTCCGGGGTTAGTTCATAGGTTGGATCCTTAATTATTTTAAGGTTCACCGCGATAAGTACTATTACAGCCGGAGCTGTTAGCAACAGAAAGACTATTGATATTGCAATCAGCGTCACCGTCATTGACTTTGTGGCGTCATCACTCGATGAGTTAATGACGTTCATGCGTATGTTACGTCTACTTTCGGCTTTTATGAGGTGGATGACGATCAATAGATTACATATGAAGATTAACGTAAATGGAAAAAAGGACGCAACACAACCATCAATCCATGTCCAATAATATGAATAAAATCCTTCGGAGTATTTGAAATTTTGACAGATATCCATTTCAATAGAAGCTGTTTCATTTCTTTTATAGATCGTTCTGTTATGAAATGTTTGGTTTTGGGTCGTCGCCTTATATAAGATCGGCTTCATTTCAGCTGTTGCATTTTGCGCAACGGTCACCGTCATGTTCACCAAAAAGTGGCAGTTGATCAGCACTAATGTTACCATAACAACAAAGATTGTCAATATCGTTCTTCTGGAAGTGAATAATATTTTAGCTCTCATTGGTCGGTAAACGATGACGAGTCTCTCCAAAGTAACGCACACAAGCATCCAGGCTGAAAGGTCCCTACAGCAATGCACGATTAATGCGTGAAATTTACACACCCACGCATGGGTGGCGCGGAGATTGAACTGGTGGACGTATAGTCCCCAGTTCGGTCCCAATCCAAAAATGAGTAATCCTATATCTGATACAGCTAACATCGAGAGATAAATCGACAATGTTGTGTATTTCATACTCGTGAATCGCATCACCAGTAAAGATAGGATGTTGCCTATTAATCCAACGACCAGAACCACTGGTGACATGTACCGCCATAGGTTCAAATATAACTCTGTTGTTTGATTTTCCATATTGTTTAACTATCACTATCAACTGGTTAATTTATGTTCCGTATAGTTCTTCAAATTATATTTCAAATTTAGAATGTTTACAAACAAGATCGATTATTCAAGAACTCATTTTGATGAAATGTGAAATACTTTTGGCTGGAATTCAAACTGTTTTTCTGGTTTTATGGTTAAATCCATCATTTGCGTGACCTGTGAGTTATTTAACAAGTTATATTTCCGTGATGCTTTTGTTGTTTGTGCGATAGGTTAACAGCTAAACAATTGTACCATCCGTTTATGGTTCACTTTTTATCTACAGTCGTCTCCGTGCGTGTATGTTAATGTATGAACAGCGCTGTAGGACCTACGAACAAATCGTCAAATTTAGTTCCACTCAGCACATGTAATTTTTATTAGCCCGTTAATTGTTTAACAAATATATTTCCAAAGTGAACGCTTTACTGAGAGACACGTCATCTCCAAATTCGTAAATAGATTTTAATAACTTCTTAATAAGGCTCCTAAAATAAGATATCCATGTTTATATAAGTTCGGCCTTAGTCTTGGTTTTGACGTTAACCCAGGTACATTTTCATTTCTTGGTATCTTGTATCTGGTTTGTTTAGCTAACCAAGATTTACAGAGGTATATGGTCCATACGGTCTGTGTAATAATTAATTAGTAGATGCCTGCCGTTTACACTTATATAATCAGCAAACTGACGGGATGTATTACGCTCCAGATCCTAAAATCTGTTGTGGAAAACATCCAAGTACAGGAAACATTTTAGATGGTAACTTTGTAAGTAACAAATGTACAGAATACGGCATATATATGAACAAAGGTTACAAACTGACAAGTGTTGAAGTCATTTTTTATGCCATAACATGATGATTAATATCACAATGGAAGAACGTATGTGTATCTCCCGAAATCTTTTGGAAGGGTATTTATTGTTAAGTTTGGCGAATTTCAATATCGGTTTATCCATAGCGATTCCAGTTAGCGCACCATTAAATGAAGAATTTCTTCATAAAATAACATCATTCAATTAAGAATAGGACAGATTCCTTAGTTATTGATTGTTGTGCAGTACAACGCCAACGCCGAAAACAGTCGAGGCGAACCTGAATAGCGCGGCAAACTTAAACAGGCGAGGCAAAATGAGAGACGAAGAGGATCTTCTACAACTCTGTGGTTTTGGCCTAATAAACATATTTGAATATATTATACATCTTTCTATAAAATTGTGATTGGTTTAAACTTCAAATTTTGTTTAAATAAAATTTTGTATTTTTTTCGAAAAATGTATTTAAAATATTTCTGTAAAATCTTGACGAATCGACATAGCTACTGTAGCTAGCTACGCCCATGTTAATAATCTCCTGGACTCTCTGTAAGATGAAGAGCAATGGATGTTTATAAACAAAACTTGATATAGTTTAATATTAAATAGCATTCAGATTTCCTTCTTTCGTGATCTTTACTGTGTTAGGTAACATATACATTTATCATTCATCAACAACCGTCTAACGTAGCCAAGTGTAGTTTGTTTGCTTAGGGAACACTTGTGCCTCGGAATGTACAGTATTGGCATATAACATAATGCTATTAACAAGGTGACTTATACAGTATGCGAATGACTTTCATGTAAAATAGAATTGAATGGATGTATATTATTATTTAGATGAGAATGAATGAGGAAGAAAAAATGTTAAGCGCATGCTCTTTAGCAAAGTATATAACTAAAAGGATGACTTGTATAGTACAAAAGTCCCGAATCACCGAGTCCTGAATCATCATCATAAGTCATACTGTTTAGCTGCCATATTTTAAATGGTTTGGCTTGTTTAAGCCAATTTTTGTATATGTGCATTTGACTGTCATGCTTATACACACTTCCTGTGTTTTCTAGAACTTTTGACTTCGGATATTACAAATTCCAAGGGGTTGCTTTTCCAAAATAATAATAAACATAATGTATTCGATACACTAAGTATACAGTAGGCAGTGCTCACACTGGATCTCATATGTCTGCCATATCTATAATTTCTCGATCATACTACTTTTCAGGTGCTTTTATTAACACATAGTTTCAGGATGAAATAATCTATCTATAGTTCACAAAATTTATTTTCACCTGAAATATATGTTTTTCGATGCTTACAATGATCAAATTATTTGATATTAATCTTTTGCCATGCTCAACGAAATGGGTCGATGGTCTGGTTTTGTGATTGACAAGTGAATGGCGCACCCGGCTGCTATCGGAAGAAGGGGGCGTAACAAAAATTAGTAATAAATCGAGGTGAAAGTAAATTGGCGAACTCACATTTAGGTTAAAGGAGGTACATTATATGAAGTAGAAATTACAAAAGTCAATTTCCGCTGTTTGAGTTGACAAAACGTCTTAATAAATACTTTTTCGAAATTTTGGCGTCACGTGCGTCATGCCTCACTGCTCAGTTTCAAGATGCGGTAACTACCGTTACCTTCTCATCTAAGATGGCGGACGAAAAGAGTCGATTTCGATATTTTTGGTTTTCGTCGAATTTAACTACTTTATAATTGACCCTTAAGCGGTGTAACATAGAGTTGAAGTTTGGCGTCCACGTATGATTTAGGAACAAATGGCCATACTCCAAAGTTTCAAAAATATACTGTATAAGGCTTATCAAGTTCAATTATCAAAGCATTACGTCAATTATAAGGTAGTTTAATTCGACGAAAATTAAATAAATATCAAAATCGAAATTTTCCGTCCGCCACCTTAGATGAGAAGGTAACGGCCGTTACCGCATCTTGATACTGACCAGTGATGCCTGTCTTCACCCATGGTCAAACATCTAGGCATGATCATTGCAATAATTAAGTTATGCAGATGTCGATATTTGCTAATTAAAATAAGGCTAAATACTTTCCACATGGATAATCTTTTATTTTGAAATGAATGCTTCTTTATGTTCTGGTTTCCAATTTGCAGGTCTTAAATCACTTGATAACAAACTCGACTAATCAACACGACTTACTCCATTTACACAGACGTGAGATACTCAAAACTACTATTCTTGGAACTATACTGACTACAATCCCAATACCACGCTCTAAAAAGTTTTTGAAACGAACGTATTTTGTCAATTTCGCCAAAGAAAAGACTCTCACTATGGACCTCCCTTATATGCTGTTATTCGACAATATTTTTACAATATTGGTTAGAATTCAACAACATCGTTGATAATGTACTGCCAAACAAGGATTTAACATGCAAAATGTCACCACTTGCCATTTGTTACAGACAAAAACACAGAACGCCGTAACAAAAAGTACGAGACCATAACAATGTGTCACATTTTACATTTTACTGTATAACTACCCCAAACATCGATACTTGATCATAAAAAACTTCAAAGAACAAGGCACATGGTGAACAATATCCTACCTAAAACATAGCAATGTGGACTTGATGACCCGGAAAGCAAGATGGCTGCCAAAAAGTTAATCAGTTCAAGAACTTCCTACCATGTAATATGTGCAAAAATTTGAATTTAATCCATTGAGTAGTTTTCCTGGAATCGCGATGACAAGATTTATCTAAGAACTTCCAAAATGGCCACCAGAATGTAAGATGGCCGCCGAAAAGTTAATCAGTCCAAGAACTTCTTACCATGTAAGATATGTTTATCAGCTCTAGAACTTCTTACCATGTTACATGTGTGAAAATTTGAAGTAAATCCGTTGAGTGGTTTTCCCGGCATCGCAATGACAAGATTTATCTAAAAACTTCCAAGATTGCCGCCAGAATGCAAGATGGCCCCCGAAAAGTTAATCAGCTCTAGAACTTCTTACCATGTAATATGTATGAAAATTTGAAGTAAATCCGTTAAGTGACTTTCCTGGAATCGTGATGACAAGAAAGTGAGACGTCGCCCACCAACGCGCGCCGCCCGTCAAGCTGATGACAATATCGTACATTTTTAGGTACGATAGAAAATTGGAAGAGCAAAACTAACATCCAAATGTCACCACTTACCATTTGTTACAGATGCCAACCGCTAACGCCATTTGCTACAGGCGCCGAAAACAAACCGCCAAAGGTTGAACACCAACCGCCGAACATTGTTCACAAAAAAGTTGGAGACTATGATCATAAACAGTTTCTACTTCTGGTTGGGACATAAAAACAACAAAAAAGCTATATATGTACATGTACTATTGAAGTTTTACTTACAGTTTTTCAAACAAGACTAGATTAAATGGATTGTAGCCAGCGCCATCTTTTTCTATTTCTGTGAGGTAGTCATTTGCACTTGTGGATGTAGGCATGAAGTTGGTTACTAGAAATCCTAAATGTTGAATAAATAACATTATTATTTCCATGCCGTGATACTCGTTCTGTCATTGGTCAATTAGATATCATGTGACTAAAAAGATATAGTGGTATGCCATGTCTCCATGCTTAGAAAACGTGTGAAGAGTGTATATTCAACTCCACAGAATTCAATATTTGTATATTATGCACCAAACAATATAGAAAATTGTCTTTAAAATATTTTAGATCTACAACCATTATGATCAAATATTTCTGATATAATAAACGGTCTAATGCAGGTGAGTATGAAAGCGAATACTTGTTATGTATACAATATATGTTAACAAAGGTCGAATATATTTAGACCAGAATATCCTGTTCAAGTCAAAATATTTGGCGAAGAGTGGAAATACTTATGACGCTTCTCTAAAACGTGATGTTCATCCGCATTGTATAGCATATGTGTTAATTCTATGTGCTTACCCCCATATCACACCAAACTAGTTCTTACCTGTTCTTGCCAGTCCTACGAAAACGTCGTAAAACGGGCTCAATCTGACTGTGGTCGGGAAATATGTCTAAAATAGTTAGCTACTTCGTTCATGAACAGTCTTCAATATGTCCATCTCATTCGCAGTTCGTTCAGGTCGCACCACGTCGGAGTGCAACGTCGTATAATGCGTCCATTAATCTAGAAGATCATCATGACCTGATTACAGAACGGTATGGTCGCCATCGAATTTTGAATCGATTCAAAATTCTACATCACATTCCCCGTCCGGGAAAGTCCATGAAATTCGTTAACAGACCGTAGAACATTGTAGCTACGTTCATTCCGTTCGCACACAGTTTAAAACCAGTTTTGAAGAACACAGTGGCAACTTGCTTGGTGTCAATCTAGAGGACCTACCCGTTCGAGTACGTTCTATTAAGTTTGTAAATAGACCCCAACCGGTTACGTCCAGTCCGTTCGTACACAGTTGAAGCCCACGTGGTGAGAACTAGTTTTGTGTGATAGTAGGGTTAAAATCTAATTAATCTCACCTCTTCCTTTCTTAGCTCCAACTATATCCACTCCATCGTTACTGAGAATGTTAAGGAGAACTCCTATTTTGTTATTGGTAGATAGAGCAAGCCAAGTTCCACCCTCTTTGCCTGCTTGCTGGTCGAGACCTATGAAATGAACAATGTGCGATTCAACTGCAATATTGAGTAAGAGCAAAAGTTGTTGCCGATGGTTTTTAATACAGGGGATGGCCTAACTATTTCGATAAATTGCTGGAAAGGGGTGCTGTATAATGATACACATAGGGACACAAAGGATAATGGACACAAAAAGAGTAATGAATTTTGGACGTGGAGTGTGCTTTATTCTACCATTAGAAATAATCAATTTTGTTGAAAATAAACTGGACAGGAAGATCACATCAAATCTTCAGTGGCTCTAAATTGTGTACATTACCTGGACTATCGGAAATTTTTAAACAATCTTAAATATTGAACTATTTTGCCGAGAAAAACGTTCAGTGTTGGTACGTGTTCACTTCAGAGAGGGTAATTCAAACAGAAGTCAGTAGAGTATGTGCGGAGGAAGGGTGTCTTCTAGAGCCAGGTGTTCACTAGAGCCAGGTGTTCACTAGAGACAGGTGTTCACGAGAGATGTTCACTAAGACAGGTTTTACTATATTATTATACTTCGAGCGAAATATATCTTACCGCTTATACAATTAGGAGCATCATCCCAGAATCCAGCAGGCTTTGTCGGTCGCACAAAGTATTCATCACGATTGTTGGCAATAATCAACTGGTAGCCATCATCTTTAGGGTTGTCACTAATAGCGACAAACAGTATACACATATCACTTCAAAGTGTGAAACTGAAATGTAAAGTATAGAAATAATGGTACACGAACATTGCAATATTCTCAATTCTTGTCGGCAAAGATATGTAAAATACAATGTAATTATATGTCTAAGTACCTTGAGTTGAAAGAAATGGATAAAATGGCAATGGTTTTATAATTTAAGCACTCGGTCGTCGGAGAGTTGATACCTGGAGGCTTTACACGCATTTTGTGTGCGTTTGAGTGAAGCCGATATTAGAGAGGTTAAGCTACACGTTACAGAACTTGAATGTGAACTTCAATGCGCGCGCAGATAAATGACGTCAGATTTGTTTATTTTCTGTGGGCAAGCGTGAAGTTTACAGGTTTTTACATGAGATTATCACATTGGTGCAATTTACAGACGTGTATTCAACAAAGCATGAACGTGTACTTCTATGCGCGCGCAGGAAAATGACGTCAGATCAGTCTACTTTCTACAGGTAATAAGAGTGAAAATTACAGGTTTTTACGTGTAGATGAGCTATTATACGTCGATCATTACGTGATTGATTTAAGCTATGTTCCTGGATGACTCAGGAGCCCATATTTGATACAGATACTCTTGCTTGTTATACTGGTAAACCCCAATCCTTAACGTGGATTATAACCCTGTTTATTTTTTCGTCGGAAGCCACTCAGTAAAATTATGATTTCTCTGCACCCTGATGTCCAATCAAGATCATTCGAGTATCTACAGTATGTGTTCCTGACACGTTTGGGCATCCGGAATTGACAACGTCTACCCTACGTTTGCACGCTATATTCACGGTTTGTATTTGAACGTGTAGCTAACCTCTCTAGCTAATAGCTCATAAATACTTTCTATAAGTGTCATGTAAACACAGGCTGGTATCGAAAAATTTGTCCGCTGTGACGGAGCGTGCTATTTTGCATAGAAACACTGGGAAATCCAAACAATTTATTTTTTTACTCATGTGTTTTGCTTTATCAAAGAAAATTACTCACTCCATGCAATAAATACATCATTTTCGGGTAACTTTAACTTCTGTTTGAAGTCCAACAACGCTAAGAGTAAAAGCTATTGAAAACGGCGTCGGGGTATCATACTCCAATATCTACCATTTCTTTTATTTCTTTTTAATGGTACAATACAGCGACACGATAATATTTACATATGTTTTCAGCGTAACTCTGAAGGTATTAATGATATCTTTATGTATTGGGTATTTTAATTTTTATCATAAAACATAATGTTTCAACTTTTTGTCCGCTGTGACGGAGCAGTTTCAAATCTGAAATACGTTAAGAATTAAGATTTATAATTTATCTCTTTACAACTACACTTTAGAGGAGAGAGCGTGTCAAATCTCTTTCGTAAAGTATTCTGAAGAAATGAAACGTAATAAAAGTACACCATTCAAATTCTGAGATGTATATACGACCACTCTTAAAACTTCTTTTCTCAGTTTGTACTGCAATACAACTTATGCATGGTGACTCATGAAAATGATAGTCAACTTCATTACAGTATAGGGTATTTGCCTTTCGTAGTGCATACTGTGGATTCATCCCCTGACATGGTAATTTTTTACGGTAACTTGGTTATTTGAAGTAAAATTATTTGCTGAAGATGAAGCTAAATACATGTAATGGTATGGACTGCGGATTGTTGTACCCTTTTTAGTCGTTCCAAAAGGTAAGTGGAGTGTATCATTAAATACGAAAATGCAAAATTTGATTTTAAGATTGTTCTTTATTTGAATAAGATTTATGGCTATCTGATGCAACTTCAGTAAAACATGTGTACAGTGAACACCTTTGGAGCGCAAAAATTTGTTTTTAGTTGGTAGATGTTCACTCCATAGAGGCAATTTCATTCAGAAGTCAGAGGAATATTTGATAAGAGGTGTTCACTAGAGAAAGATATTAATTGATACAGGTTTTACAGTGCAGCAGGTTTACCAAGACTTTTTCTATAATTTTATTCTATGCAAAACGATGAATTTCATAAATTTCAAATAATTACAAATTAAATCTGTATTGGAATCATCTTATATACAGTAATATTATGTTGTAAAAGGTTATACATCTTTCAGAATGCAGGAAGTCTTTGCGCCTTTTCGAATAAATTCATATTAGCCCTATTTACAATACATGTGACATTCCAAGATGTCTTGGCGAAAACGTTTTAGAAATATTATGTTAAGTTTACACCATGTTGATTCGTGTTGATATCAATACAAGCCTCCGAAAAATGCGAAGAGTGGTCGTTTTTATATCTCAGATTTACATTACCCCAGATCTCCCAGAGGCTACTTGTCATAATTAAGGAAAGTGATTTGTGACGTTCTCTCTTCTAAGGGTACTTTTAAAAGATATAATATGAATCTTAAATTCTTAACGTAGTTCACAGTTAAAACTGCTCCGTCACAGCTGACAAAAAATGTAAACATTATTTTTTATAAAAAATATTAAAAATGCCCAATACATCAGGATATCATTAATACCTTCAGAGTTATGCTGAAAACATATGAAAATATTATCTTGTCACTTTATTGTATCATTAAAAAGAAATAAAAGAAATTGTACATTTTGGAGTATGATACCCCAGCGCCGTTTTCAATAGCTATTACTCTTAGCGTCGTTGGACTTCAAACAAAATTTAAAGTTACCCGCAAATGATATACCCATTGCATGGAGTAAGAAATTTTCTTTTGTATTGCGAAACATATGAGTAAAAAAATAAATTGTGTGGGTTTCTTGGTGTTTCTATGCAAAATAGCACGCTCCGTCACAGCGGACAAATTTTTCGATACCAGCCTGTGGTAAATGGAACAAGTGTATGAGTGGGCCCTGAATACGCTGGTGCATGAGTGCATGTTCATCAGTAACTTCATTCTGATCTTTGTCACGTAGATGTCCAAGTTTATTTAATCAAATGTCAACCTGTCAGCTTTTCCCATTGCTTTGAGGTTATTAACGACAGGGATCAATCGCTTTCGCTAATGCCCTGGTTACATTTGTCCAGGTCTTCAACAACGGCACCCGGCCGACGAGTTGTTTTTGTTCAAAACTAGTGCCTGATACACACTGCTTTGGGGAGGAAAAGCATTAACACTATCAGAATTACGGATACAGACAGTTTGTATATAGGTTAAGGCTACGTAGAATAAACGCATTATATTTATTATCTAGAGTCATATTTGTGAATTAATCCTATAAAAACGAGTAAATAAATGAGTATATTAGTTGAGAGTTAAAACTGCTCCAAAGTCCATACGAATACTAGTAGTGACGTGGATATGAGGTTAATCGAAACATCAAGGTAGCGAATTCGAGTATCTAAAGTGCAGACATGTAAAGATATAAAGTATAAAACGTTTAGAGGATCGGAGTATTAATAAAACATTCTTCATTTCTGTCATCAATACTTTTTTAAGATAACATCCCACCATTTGTCAAGATGACAGAGAATTCTAAAACATTTCCAAGCTACTGCAGTATGTGGGGTATTGTAATAAAACTATTATAATTATGTACTATTTCAGTATTTTGAGGGTGTTGAAAAAGAACCTCAGAATGCTTATCAACTAAAGATTACTTTTCATCGATCAATAGACCAATTTGATTAAGTTTGCCACTTTGTCATATAAATGTAGCTGTATGTGTGGCGTATCACACAAGGGTAGCAGCCAAATCCTTGCTTCTTTGTGGTCAGATCGTCGAACAGTGCCAACACCACAGACTCCTTACAAAGATACCACAGACGGCGCCGCACACTAGTAATTTCTACATCCGGGTTATATAGACATGATAGAGTATATAGGTCACTGGTGGATCCAGCCCCCCCCCCCCTTTGTAGGCCCGGAAAAATCTTTAGGGTCCCAAAAATTGTGTACGGCCTCAAAAATTGTGTACGCCTACGGCCTCAAAAATATACCTTTTTGGGCATAATTTGGCTTTTTATATTTCAAATAATCAAAAAATGGGCCTAAATGATCAAAATTTGGGGCTCAATTTTTTTCCTCACTCAAAATTGGGCCCCTTTGTTAGCTTCTGGATCCGCCAGTCTGTAGCCTACAAGGGGCGATCAATTTCAATGACCCTCTATTTCTGGCAATATTTGGAGTCATCTAACCTGGCAGAAGGATAAAAGATGGACCAGCAACAACTTATAACCAGCTTGTGTCTAAATAGGGTTGCTATGACAACTCTGCTTGATAACATCAAAAACAAGACGGCGACGCCCCGGCTCTGGTAAGTGAGACTATTTGACTACTAAGGAAGGGTAATAGAGACTTCTACAGGACGCTAAAGCCCCCACAAAATACCAAAGGGACTTGATACAACTTTCTTGTTACAGGTGCATCTGTGTATCTTAATAAGTTACCTGACTAAAATTATACGACAAATACTTTTCCCCCCATTTTTTCATATTTCGTCCCATGGTAGACTGATATAAGCCCAACGTATATGAAGACCGTGGTGGAACAATACATGCACTTTTAGTTTGACTCAGTTACTGATCCTGATTTATTTGCCACTTGCATTGGTCTTTAAGCAGGTTCAAATCTATAAAGAAGTAAAATAAACTTACTGTTCATAAAAGTAAGAAGTGGGTGATAATTGATTTTGTGTACTTCCGGTATTCCGATAAAAATCCGAACGTCCGATATATAAATTGTTCGTTCTTTTCTACGGTGAACATGAACACTCCCGTGATAGTTTAGTTTTAGGCGGTCGACATGTTAATACTCACGCCTTAGGTCGCACATTTATCGTTAGTGTCTATCTATGGTCTAATTAATTTCAAATCCATTTGCAACATCAATCTATCAATGTACGCCCCTCCCGGGACTACGGGCCGGTACTTGTCATCCCATACTGATACATCCATCTCGGCGGGAAAAAATTGTCACAACTGTACTCTTAGTAGCCCTCAGTTTACTGAGTTACAAATGGCTATCACATTAAATTCTAGGCATCAGAAAAACAGTTCATTTCATTTTAATAGATCAAAAGGTATGAAGCAGATGTGATGATTATCGCCGGAGCAGACGCCCGGGTATGTCGAAGTACAGTCATGATATATATATGTTATTCTATAATGGCGCTTTGGTCTTATTATGCCGTTAGCCATGGTCTTCAAGCTTTACAGTGAGGTTGAAATTGAACTGAAACCCCATAATGCGAATTCTCCCATTCGCGGTTCGCTCTTTGAAACGTTCGCAAATATGTACTGAAAAAGCAATCAAAAAGGACAACATTTGATTGGTCAATATTTTCCCACTGTGCACTTCGCGTAGCTATTTGCGTGACCCGAAAGTTCTAAATCAAACTAATTACGCAATTTTGTTTTTACACCCGCACGCTAAATAAAACAATGACACCATCGAATGTATTCTTCGTTGTCATTGCTTTAATAGTCAGTGTCAACTTTACATAACAAGATTTGAGTTCTAAACTAATTATTTATTCATGACGTAATCCAATGTATGAATTACACTGTACGAAATGATTACACAGTACATCAACTTATTCCCGGGGAACTCTCACCTGTATGGAGCATATACATATATATCAATAATATGACATCTCCCCTTTTTAAGTATGTGTGAAAACTCAAGAGTCTATCAAGCATGAATAATACAAAAGCACATTTATAAAAACAGTTGAACAGTCTTTTGAACAGTCTTTTATATCAATGCATCACACTGCATAATATGCTGTAGTGTCAAGTCACTCTGAAGTATAATAAACATATCGATGATTAAAATGCAACACACTGCATTATGTCAAATCATATTTCAAATGCAACACACTGCATTTTGTCAAATCATATTTCAAATGCAACACACTGCATTATCAAATCATAACTCTTAATCTGAAGCATGTTTATCATAACATAATGTCAATCAATTAGCATATCTGGCTGGTTTGATTACCTCCAGTCCTGACTTTGACCTAGTCTGAATGACTCTCTGAGTAGGTACTGTATTATGTCTGGGTGACATAGTGGTACTGGGAACAGTAAACTGTGCACTATCTTTAGTGTCACGATACACACTTGTATTGTTTTGACTATCCATAGACACATCTACAGGTTTGTGAACTACTGGACTTGATATACCAATCTGTTCTGATGGACCCTGATTTGTGTCACTGTTATGTAAAATTGGTTTTGACTTACAAAAATTGTAAATCAGATTATCATCATTATGTGGACTTGGACTTCTGGATCTGTGGTATAAGACTGGTTTGGGACTAAATGTACTGGCACTTCTGACCATAGGACCATTTATACTGGGACTTTTATGACTGGGACTTTTATGACTGGGACTTGGAATTGCCATTATGTGACGCCTGTTACGTCTGTAAGTTCCCTTAGGAGTCTCAACAATATATGACCTGGGTGAACTATGTTTACATTTGACAACACCTCTTGTTTTCCATCCCTTTTCCTGGTCAGTTTTCAATAAAACTTGTGAACCCGGTACTAGTTCAGTCAAAGGTCTCACTCCATGATGTTTGTCATAATTGGTTTTGTACATATTCTTAGCAGTCTTGTCATTTTAGGCTACCTGTCTGAGATTAGGCCATTTCGGGTTGAGATTGCTAGGCAGTGTAGGGACTGTAGACTTAATTTGCCTACCCATAAGCAATTGAGCTGGCGATGCTCCAGTCGCAAAGTGAGGCGTAGCGCGATAAGTTAATAAGGCTAGGTAAGGATCTTCCTGACACAAAATACGCTTCAAAATCTGGACTCCCCTCTCAACCTGACCATTTGCTTGACTAAAATGTGGACTACTTGTACAGTGAATAAAATTGTACCTTTCCGCAAATTCTTTGAACTCTGCACTGGTAAATTGCGGACCGTTATCTGAAATGCATGTTTCACAAACACCGAATCTTGCAAAAATAATCTTCAATCTGTCTATGACACTTTTTGCAGTTGTGTTTTTGTTCATTTTAGCAATTTCCGGATAACGCGAAAAATAATCTACCACTACTAGCCAGTGGCAATTTTCATACTCACATAAATCCACAGCTATCTTGGACCATGGACGCTTGGGAAGAACTGTAGGCATCAAAGGTTCCTTCCTCTGTGTACTTTTGATTGATTGGCAATGTTCACATTTTTCTATCATGACTTTTATTTGTGAGCTCATACCTGGCCACCAAACTGATTGATTTGCTCTACTCCGGCATTTTGTAATACCAAGGTGACCATCATGAATTCTACTCAAAATCAAGTTTTGCATACCTACTGGTACGACCACTCTATTTCCATGAGTTATTAAACCATTGTATAGGCTCAAAGCACTCCGCTCGGGGAAAAATGGCTTAACAAACGGGGGAACGGACTTGATATTTTCTGGCCATCCATGCGTTACATAATCACGCACACGCAGTAATACAATGTCTACATCTGTTTCTACTCTGATTTTCTCAAGCAAGTAATCCGCAATCGGTCTAGCACTATCTATCGACGCGAGATACTGCTCTATATCTTCATGAGATGTATCAAGAGATTTACCTACCTCTATTGGATCCCGACTAAGCATATCTGCCACATGCATGTCCTTACCTGGAACATATCTAGCAACTGCATTGAAACGCATCAGCCTGATCAATAATCTTTGACATCTAATGGGTACTCTATCTAAGTCTTTGATATTAATCAATGGTACTAAGGGCTTGTGATCTGTCAATACTTCAAATCGATCGAGACCAATGAGAAACCGTTCAAAACGTTCAGTTGCCCATACCGACGCGAGACATTCTTTTTCTATCTGTGCGTACTTTTTCTCACTATCATTAAGACTTCTCGAAGCGTAACAGACTGGCTTGAGGCCATTTGAATGTTCCTGAAACAAACACGCTCCCATACCATAACTACTACTGTCCGCACTTACAATTGTAGGTTTATTAGGATCATAAAACGCTAACACGGGCGCACGGGTGACCAATTCCTTAATTTTGTCAAAGGATTCCTGCTGGGCCAACTCCCATGTGAAACTTACCTCTTTCCGCAGTAGCACATACAGTGGGGCAGCTATCGTAGCCATACCCGGGATAAACTTTCCAAGATAATTGGCTGTACCCAGAAATCTCCGTAATTCTGTGATATTTGTAGGTACAGTGAGCTTCAGTATAGCTTGCACATTGCTATCTGACGGACTAATTCCATCTTTCGTAACTGTATGTCCGAAGAAAGTAACACGCGACTGACGGAATTTACATTTCTTCTTATTAAGCTTGATTCCTACCTTCTTGAGTGTCTGCATAACACGTTCCAAACGCTCGTCATGTTCAGCTTTGTCCTTGCCATGGACTATCAAATTATCTATGATATTTTCAACACCTTCATGGTTCTCCAAAATTCCGGCCATTACACGCTGATACAACTCACTCGCGAATGAAAGTCCAAACGGAACGCGGTTGAATTTATATCGACCAAATGGGGTCATGAAAGTTGTTAAATATGAACTTTCTTCATCTAACACTAATCCCCAAAAACTATTGGACGCATCTAGAGTTGTAAACACTGTAGAGCCCTGCATTTTGTGAAACAAATCCTCAGCAGAAGGCAACATGAATTTTTCATTTTTCACAGATTTATTCAAATTTCTGAGATCTACACATATTCTAGGTTCTGGATCTGACTTTTTCTCAACAACAACCATAGGAGCACACCATTCTGTTGGCTTTGTTACTCTTGAAATGACACCCAAATTCTCAAGTTTTTTCAATTTATCTTGTACACGCGGCATCATAGGCAAACTTACCCTTCGCGAAATACTCACACTGTACGGCTGGGCATCATCCTTCAAATTTATCTTGACAGGGTCAGTTTTAATTTTACCAATCTCACCATACATTTCAGATGATGTTTAAATTGACTGAACACGCCGAACCAAACCCATCCCGATGGCACATCCCCTGGATAAAAGACTCATGTCTGAGGTCATGTCAGCTACATGTATATCTGTCTTAAAACGTTTGTTGTCTAAGTCAATTGTCCCAGAAAACTTACCAACACAGGCTACATTACCACCTGGACTTTTAAGTTGGACATTGGAAGGTTTAAGGACAGGGGGCTTATCAAAAGACTCAAACACACATTGGGGCATAACAGTAACATCGGCACCTGTGTCCAGTTTGAACATGATTGGTTTACCATTTACACTGAGTTCACTCACCCATGGTGGTTCCTTGTTGTTGATGTCAATCACACCGACCTCGTCAACACGAAAATCTTGTGTAGGCTCATCATCATGCTGGAATCTCGGCTTAGGAATATCACCAACCGGATACATATCGTCACAGACAATCTCGCCAATGAATGCCTGGTAATTATCGTCATCTTCATGTTGATCACTATCACAATCAAGTATTTCATGAATATTTTTGCGCTTATCCATTGACTTTTGGTTGCGTTTGTTGCAACAACGTTTGTAGTGGTTCATGCCACCACACTGCAAACATGTTTTACCATATGCACCACACTCCCTAGGCTTGTGTGTTAACGCACACTTCTTACACTTGAATGCAGCTGATTGTGATTGTCCCTTGGACTGTGTTGTTGACCTTTTCGACCTCCTAGACCTGGTGACGTCATCCAGATTCTGCGGGGTTTCCGAC